AAAGGTTACCTCAGGTCCTCCTACCAGTAAATATTATGTCTGTAGTAAAGGTTACTCGGGTCCTCCTACCAGTAAATATTATCTGTAGTAAAGGTTACCTCGGGTCCTCCTACCAGTAAATATTATCTGTAGTAAAGGTTTCCTCGGGTCCTCCTACCAGTAAATATTATGTCTGTAGTAAAGGTTACCTCGGGTCCTCCTACCAGTAAATATTATGTCTGTAGTAAAGGTTACCTCGGGTCCTCCTACCAGTAAATATTATGTCTGTAGTAAAGGTTACCTCGGGTCCTCCTACCAGTAAATATTATGTCTGTAGTAAAGGTTACTCGGGTCCTCCTACCAGTAAATATTATCTGTAGTAAAGGTTACCTCGGGTCCTCCTACCAGTAAATATTATGTCTGTAGTAAAGGTTACCTCAGGTCCTCCTACCAGTAAATATTATGTCTGTAGTAAAGGTTACCTCGGGTCCTCCTACCAGTAAATATTATCTGTAGTAAAGGTTACCTCGGGTCTTCCTACCAGTAAATATTATCTGTAGTAAAGGTTACCTCGGGTCTTCCTACCAGTAAATATTATGTCTGTAGTAAAGGTTACCTCGGGTCCTCCTACCAGTAAATATTATGTCTGTAGTAAAGGTTACCTCGGGTCCTCCTACCAGTAAATATTATGTCTGTAGTAAAGGTTACCTCGGGTCTTCCTACCAGTAAATATTATCTGTAGTAAAGGTTACCTCGGGTCCTCCTACCAGTAAATATTATCTGTAGTAAAGGTTACCTCGGGTCCTCCTACAGTAAATATTATCTGTAGTAAAGGTTACCTCGGGTCCTCCTACCAGTAAATATTATCTGTAGTAAAGGTTACCTCGGGTCCTCCTACCAGTAAATATTATCTGTAGTAAAGGTTACCTCGGGTCTTCCTACCAGTAAATATTATCTGTAGTAAAGGTTACCTCGGGTCTTCATACCAGTAAATATTATGTCTGTAGTAAAGGTTACCTCGGGTCCTCCTACCAGTAAATATTATGTCTGTAGTAAAGGTTACTCGGGTCCTCCTACCAGTAAATATTATGTCTGTAGTAAAGGTTACCTCGGGTCCTCCTACCAGTAAATATTATGTCTGTAGTAAAGGTTACTCGGGTCCTCCTACCAGTAAATATTATCTGTAGTAAAGGTTACCTCGGGTCCTCCTACCAGTAAATATTATGTCTGTAGTAAAGGTTACCTCGGGTCCTCCTACCAGTAAATATTATGTCTGTAGTAAAGGTTACCTCGGGTCCTCCTACCAGTAAATATTATCTGTAGTAAAGGTTACCTCGGGTCCTCCTACCAGTAAATATTATGTCTGTAGTAAAGGTTACCTCGGGTCCTCCTACCAGTAAATATTATGTCTGTAGTAAAGGTTACCTCGGGTCTTCATACCAGTAAATATTATGTCTGTAGTAAAGGTTACCTCGGGTCCTCCTACCAGTAAATATTATGTCTGTAGTAAAGGTTACTCGGGTCTCCTACCAGTAAATATTATCTGTAGTAAAGGTTACCTCGGGTCCTCCTACCAGTAAATATTATGTCTGTAGTAAAGGTTACCTCGGGTCCTCCTACCAGTAAATATTATGTCTGTAGTAAAGGTTACCTCGGGTCCTCCTACCAGTAAATATTATGTCTGTAGTAAAGGTTACCTCGGGTCCTCCTACCAGTAAATATTATGTCTGTAGTAAAGGTTACCTCGGGTCCTCCTACCAGTAAATATTATGTCTGTAGTAAAGGTTACCTCGGGTCTTCCTACCAGTAAATATTATCTGTAGTAAAGGTTACCTCGGGTCCTCCTACCAGTAAATATTATCTGTAGTAAAGGTTTCCTCGGGTCCTCCTACCAGTAAATATTATGTGTGTAGTAAAGGTTACCTCGGGTCCTCCTACCAGTAAATATTATGTCTGTAGTAAAGGTTACCTCGGGTCCTCCTACCAGTAAATATTATCTGTAGTAAAGGTTACCTCGGGTCCTCCTACCAGTAAATATTATGTCTGTAGTAAAGGTTACCTCGGGTCTTCCTACCAGTAAATATTATCTGTAGTAAAGGTTACCTCGGGTCTTCCTACCAGTAAATATTATCTGTAGTAAAGGTTACCTCGGGTCTTCCTACCAGTAAATATTATCTGTAGTAAAGGTTACCTCGGGTCTTCCTACCAGTAAATATTATCTGTAGTAAAGGTTACCTCGGGTCCTCCTACAGTAAATATTATGTCTGTAGTAAAGGTTACCTCGGGTCCTCCTACCAGTAAATATTATGTCTGTAGTAAAGGTTACCTCGGGTCCTCCTACCAGTAAATATTATGTCTGTAGTAAAGGTTACCTCGGGTCCTCCTACCAGTAAATATTATGTCTGTAGTAAAGGTTACCTCGGGTCTTCCTACCAGTAAATATTATCTGTAGTAAAGGTTACCTCGGGTCTTCCTACCAGTAAATATTATCTGTAGTAAAGGTTACCTCGGGTCCTCCTACCAGTAAATATTATGTCTGTAGTAAAGGTTACCTCGGGTCCTCCTACCAGTAAATATTATGTCTGTAGTAAAGGTTACCTCGGGTCCTCCTACCAGTAAATATTATGTCTGTAGTAAAGGTTACCTCGGGTCTTCCTACCAGTAAATATTATCTGTAGTAAAGGTTACCTCGGGTCTTCCTACCAGTAAATATTATCTGTAGTAAAGGTTACCTCGGGTCCTCCTACCAGTAAATATTATGTCTGTAGTAAAGGTTACCTCGGGTCCTCCTACCGGTGAAACATCCTGTACTCACCTATTTGTACTCACCTATTTGTGGTTGCAGGGGTCGAGTCCTAGCTCCTGGCCCCGCCTCTTCACCGGTTGCTACTAGGCCCTCTCTCTCCCCGCTCCATGAGCTTTATCAAACCTCGTCTTAAAACTGTGTATGGTTCCTGCCTCCACTACGTCATTTTCTAGGCTATTCCACTGCCTTACAACTCTATGACTGAAGAAATACTTCCTACTATCTCTCTGACTCATTTGTGTCTTCAACTGTCCCCTCCCTGGAACATCCTGTCTTTGTCCACCTTGTCTATTCCATGCAGTATTTTATATGTCGTTATCATGTCTCCCCTGACCCTCCTGTCCTCCAGTGTCGTCAGGCCGATTTCCCTTAATCTTTCTTCATAGGACATTCCCCTTAGCTCTGGAACTAACCTTGTCGCAAACCTTTGTACTTTCTCTAGTTTCTTGACATGCTTTATCAAGTGCGGGTTCCAAACAGGTGCTGCATACTCCAGTATGGGCCTGACATACACGGTGTACAGTGTCTTGAATGATTCCTTACTAAGGTGTCGGAATGCTGTTCTCAGGTTTGCCAGGCGCCCATATGCTGCAGCAGTTATTTGATTGATGTGTGCTTCCGGAGACATGCTCGGTGTTATACTCACCCCAAGATCTTTCTCCTTGAGTGAGGTTTGCAGTCTTTGGCCACCTAGCCTATACTCTGTCTGTGGTCTTCTGTGCCCTTCCCCTATCTTCATGACTTTGCATTTGGCAGGATTAAATTCGAGAAGCCATTTGCTGGACCAGGTGTCCAGTCTGTCCAGGTCTCTTTGAAGTCCTGCCTGGTCCTCATCAGATTTAATTCTCCTCATTAACTTCACATCATCTGCAAACAGGGACACTTCTGAGTCTAACCCTTCCGTCATGTCGTTCACATATATCAAAAATAGCACTGGTCCTAGGACCGACCCTGTGGGACCCCGCTCGTCACAGGTGCCCACTGTGATACATCATTACGTACCATGACTCGTTGTTGCCTCCCTGTCAGGTATTCTCTGATCCATTGCAGTGCCCTTCCTGTTATATGCGCCTGATGCTCTAGCTTCTGCACTAATCTCTTGTGAGGAACTGTGTCAAAGGCCTTCTTGCAGTCCAGAAGATGCAATCAACCCACCCTCTCTCTCTTGTCTTACTTCTGTTATTTTATCATAAAACTCCAGAAGGTTTGTGACACAGGATTTGCCTTCCGTGAATCCGTGCTGGTTGGCATTTATACTCCTGTTCCGTTCCAGGTGCTCCACCACTCTCCTCCTGATAATCTTCTCCTGTACTCACCTAGTTGAGGTTGCAGGGGTCGAGTCCAAGCTCCTGGCCCCGCCTCTTCACTGGTCGCTACTAGGTCACTCTCCCTGAACATGAGCTTTATCGTACCTCTGCTTAAAGCTATGTATGGATCCTGACTCCACTACATCGCTTCCCAAACTATTCCACTTACTGACTACTCTGTGGCTGAAGAAATACTTCCTAACATCCCTTTGATTCATCTGTGTCTTCAGCTTCCAACTGTGTCCCCGTGTTGCTGTGTCCAGTCTCTGGATGTCAGACCAAATGCAAAAAAATTACCAGGGAGATTAGAGGAAATTCCCCCCGGGCAAATGTCCAGAAAAATGTCGAAATATTTCATGGAAAAACGTTCATTCATAATTACTGTTCTTGCTTTGGTCTTCATAAGTGATCTGCATTATATAAATTTACATCAATCATCCATTCTTTTTTAAGTTTTTTTACACTAAATTATTATTATTATTATTATTATTATTATTATTATTATTATTATTATTATTATTATTATTATTATTATTATTATTATTATTATTATTAATTTTCTATTATTTTTATTATTATTATTATATGTACATGTGTGTGTGTGTCAGTGGGCAGGCTAGCTAGGTGTTGTGGGCGGTGCTGTGTGCAGGTGGGCGGTGCTGTGTGTAGGTGGGCGGTGCTGTGTGTAGGTGGGCGGTGCTGTGTGCAGGTGGGCGGTGCTGTGTGTAGGTGGGCGGTGCTGTGTGCAGGCGGGCGGTGCTGTGTGTAGGTGGGCGGTGCTGTGTGTAGGTGGGCGGTGCTGTGTGCAGGTGGGCGGTGCTGTGTGCAGGTGGGCGGTGCTGTATGTAGGTGGGCGGTGCCGTAGGGTCTAGGAAGGTTGCGTCAGACGCGACACTCGTGGCGTGTGCTCCGTCGCCGACACACACGCACGCCTTCATCTCTCTCGTTACCACCAGACACCTGTAGCGCGCCTTCCAAGAGGCGTGATACCACCGCCACGCTACCACCACCACCAGCACCGCCAGTCACCACCACCACCACCACCAACGTCTCCGATATTAGGTAGATGAACCACACATTTCAAAAGAAAAATAAGCGATAAACCTTAAACCATGTGTGCATTTCTTCCTCCCAGTCATGTGGGTACAGCTTCCCCTCAGTCATGTGTGTACAGCTTCCCCTCAGTCATGTTTGTACAGCTTCCCCTCAGTCATGTTTGTACAGCTTTCCCTCAGTCATGTGTGTACAGCTTCCCCTCAGTCATGTTTGTACAGCTTCCCCTCAGTTATGTGTGTACAGCTTCCCCTCAGTCATGTTTGTACAGCTTCCCCTCAGTCATGTGTGTACAGCTTTCCCTCAGTCATGTGTGTACAGCTTCCCCTCAGTCATGTTTGTACAGCTTCCCCTCAGTCATGTTTGTACAGTTTCCCCTCAGTCATGTGTGTACATCTCCTCAGTCTTGTGTGCGCATCTTCCCCTCAGTTATGTGTGCACATCTTTCCCTCAGTCATGTGTGCACATCTTCCCCTCAGTCATGTGTGCACATCTTCCCCTCAGTCATGGGTGTGCAGCTTCCCCTCAGTCATGTGTGCACATCTTCCCCTCAGCCATGTGTGCACATCTTCCCCTCAGTCATGGGTGTACAGCTTCCCCTCAGTCATGTGTGCACATCTTCCCCTCAGTCATGTGTGCACATCTTCCCCTCAGTCATGTGTGCACATCTTCCCCTCAGTCATGGGTGTGCAGCTTCCCCTCAGTCATGTGTGCACATCTTTCCCTCAGTCATGTGTGCACATCTTCCCCTCAGTCATGTGTGCACATCTTCCCCTCAGTCATGGTTGTGCAGCTTCCCCTCAGTCATGTGTGCACATCTTCCCCTCAGCCATGTGTGCACATCTTCCCCTCAGTCATGGGTGTACAGCTTCCCCTCAGTCATGTGTGCACATCTTCCCCTCAGTCATGTGTGCACATCTTCCCCTCAGTCATGTGTGCACATCTTCCCCTCAGTCATGTGTGCACATCTTCCCCTCAGTCATGGGTGTGCAGCTTCCCCTCAGTCATGTGTGCACATCTTCCCCTCAGTCATGTGTGCACATCTTCCCCTCAGTTATGTGTGCACATCTTACCCTCAGTCATGTGTGCACATCTTCCCCTCAGTCATGTGTGCACATCTTCCCCTCAGTCATGTGTGCACATCTTCCCCTCAGTTATGTGTGCACATCTTACCCTCAGTCATGTGTGCACATCTTCCCCTCAGTCATGTGTGCACATCTTCCCCTCAGTCATGGGTGTGCAGCTTCCCCTAAGTCATGTGTGCACATCTTCCCCTCAGCCATGTGTGCACATCTTCCCCTCGGCCATGTGTGCACATCTTCGCCTCAGCCATGTGTGCACATTTTCCCCTTAGCCATGTGTGCACATCTTCCCCTCGGCCATGTGTGCACATTTTCCCCTTAGTCATGTGTGCACATCTTCCCCTCGGCCATGTGTGCACATCTTCCCCTCGGCCATGTGTGCACATCTTCGCCTCAGCCATGTGTGCACATTTTCCCCTTAGCCATGTGTGCACATCTTCCCCTCGGCCATGTGTGCACATTTTCCCCTTAGCCATGTGTGCACATCTTCCCCTCGGCCATGTGTGCACATCTTCCCCTCGGCCATGTGTGCACATCTTCCCCTCAGCCATGTGTGCACATCTTCCCCTCGGCCATGTGTGCACGTCTTCCCCTCAGCCATGTGTGCACATCTTCCCCTCGGCCATGTGTGCACATCTTCCCCTCGGCCATGTGTGCACGTCTTCCCCTCAGCCATGTGTGCACATCTTCCCCTCGGCCATGTGTGCACATCTTCCCCTCAGCCATGTGTGCACATCTTCCCTCAGCCATGTGTGCACATCTTCCCTCAGCCATGTGTGCACGTCTTCCCCTCAGCCATGTGTGCACATCTTCCCCTCGGCCATGTGTGCACATCTTCCCCTCAGCCATGTGTGCACATCTTCCCCTCAGCCATGTGTTTTAGTGTCATGCATTGTTTTGACACTCTTAAACCCCTTTCAAAGTCTACTTTAAACCATGGTGCGTCTACCTTAAACCCTGGTGCCTTAACCTTAAAAACTGGTACTTCTAATTTAAAACCTGGTAACGTTTATATGAAACCCTGGCACGTCTACCTTAAACAATGTACCCACCCATGGCGTTTAGTCCTTGTTCTTAAATATTGCGTCTTGTCAGTGCTCTCTAACAGTGTTTTGTCTGTTCCTTACGTTCGTGTTCTTGTTCCATGTTCCTTACGTTCGTGTTCTTGATCCATGTCCCTTACGTTCGTGTTCTTGTTCCCTGTTCCTTACGTTCGTGTTCTTGTTCCCTGTTCCTTACGTTCGTATTCTTGTTCCCTGTTCCTTACGTTCGTGTCCTTGTTCCATGCTTCTTACGTTCGTGTTCGTGTTCTCTATTTCTTGCGTTCGTGTTCTCGTTCCCTTTTTCTTACGTTCGTGTTCATGTTCCCTGTTTTTTATGTTCGTGTTCTTGTTTCATGTTCCTTACGTTCGTGTTCTCGTTCCCTGTTTCTTAAGTTCGTGTTCCTGTTTTTCGCCGTTAACCTTCGTATTCGTTCCCCCCAGCACCCATGTTGCTCTATGCAAATGAGACACATTGTGAGGCTTATGGTACCTTATTAATTAAAACGTTTAGCCCACCGCTGCTTTTATCAATTTCTCACCGGGAAGAGGACACGGGTTATTGTCAGGGTAGGAGAGATGTGCTGGGGCTCATGAAGCCAGTGTTAGTAGCCAGAGAGAGGTGCTGGGGCTCATGAAGCCAGTGTTAGTAGCTAGAGAGAGGTGCTGGTGCTCATGAAGCCAGTGTTAGTAGCCAGAGAGAGGTGCTGGGGCTCATGAAGCCAGTGTTAGTAGCTAGAGAGAGGTGCTGGTGCTCATGAAGCCAGTGTTAGTAGCCAGAGAGAGGTGCTGGGGCTCATGAAGCCAGTGTTAGTAGCTAGAGAGAGGTGCTGGTGCTCATGAAGCCAGTGTTAGTAGCCAGAGAGAGGTGCTGGGGCTCATGAAGCCAGTGTTAGTAGCCAGAGAGAGGTGCTGGGGCTCATGAAGCCAGTGTTAGTAGCTAGAGAGAGGTGCTGGTGCTCATAAAGCCAGTGTTACTAGCCAGAGAGAGGTGCTGGGGCTCATGAAACAAGTGTTAGTAGCTAGAGAGAGGTGCTGGTGCTCATGAAGCCAGTGTTAGTAGCCAGAGAGAGGTGCTGGGGCTCATGAAGCCAGTGTTAGTAGCCAGAGAGAGGTGCTGGGGTTCATGAAGCTAGCGTGAATAGCCAGAAAGTGAGTGAGGTTAGGTGATGGCAGCATCAGGGTTCTGGGAGAGCGAACCTCGCCTGGTAAACATCACGGAGATTGTGAACTCCCAGGACTTCTGAAGAATGGTATTAGTAGTGGCTATTACTGTTGACTGTAAACATAAATCTACTTCGTCTGTTACTCTCTCGGTTTTTAGCGTTTTGCCTCAGGGGAAATTTCATGTGGTTCACACTATGTAGTACACCTGTGTCGTCCCTCCAGCATGCGTGTGTACGCGTTTTCCGTGTCGTCCCTCCAACATGCTTATATATGCTCTCTAGACTCCTGGAAGCTTCTCTGCTGCTGTATATACCTAGGCACAACTTACATATCGTATAGTATAAACGCTGGCAGTGGCGTTAATTGGTTTTCATTTTTTTTTTTTTTGACTAGGTCTCTCGTGAGTTTTGATGAGACAATGGTAATCTGAAACAATTTTCAGCTAAGGCACTGGAAAGGTTATTGTGCTGGTTTGGTTGACAGGAAATACAGTATAGCTACTGGGTGTAGTGTCAGCACTAGAGGTGTGTAGTATCTTCTCTTCTTTCTTCCTGCAGTCTGTGACAGAAGGTAGTAACGTTCAGTGATGACCTGGCTCACGAAATTACGTTCTTTCCTCGAGACACTCCGGAGTGGAATGAATCTTTTGCGTTCTTATGAAGATTTCCCCGTGATGACCCGACGCTTGACTCTGTCGTCATGGTGAGAGTAACTACACCATTATCATATTCAATACTGTAGTAGTTCCCTTTCATTTATCGCTCTACAGTCGACTCTGAAATGAAGTTAATCACTGGTTTTGTAAATCAAAACGTCCTGGATCTCTCTCTTCTGTTGTCACACACACACCCGTGAGTGTCTTGAACTGATACAGACTCTTGTGGACGAAAAGTCTTCGTTCATAACATTCCACAACCCTCACGCCGTGTCTTGTTTACACACTGTGGGTATATTCTACCAATGCTATTATCATTGCTCTTGTTCTTCACTCCCACTAACATTCATTGCTCTCTTCACTCCCTTTAACATTCGTGTTCCTCGTTCCTTCCCTGCAACATTCGTGTTCCTTGTTCCTTCCCTGCAACATTCGTGTTCCTCGTTCCTTCCCTCCAACATTCGTGTTCCTCGTTCCTTTCCTCCAACATTCGTGTCCTAGCAGCGTGCCTTATACTGAGATATGTATTTATGTTTCTCATGTATGCATCTGTGTTATGTATACTTGTCTCTCATGTTCGGTGTGTGTAGAACAAGTGATGTATATTATCAGACTATTCTGTATCTAACCAGAGTGAATGTTTTATGCTTCCTGTATCATGTCTACTTTAAAATATGTATCCTCCGTCCCCTACATGTTTCTTCTATTATTTCAGGATACATTATAGTGTTCCATGTATCCTCCAGCGTCTGTTTGGTGTGCAGTGTACAAATAAATCACCATTTATGTAGAATTCGTGTGATCTCTATCCGGAAACAGGAATTACTGACTTTTTTAAATTATTAATGATTGGAACCAATTGGTGAATAATTTCTCTTGTGAATTTTTTTTCATGATTTTCACGGATTATTGGCGATATTTTATGGTCGTCCAATATATACTCCGAGTATTTTATTTTGCTAACAGACATGTGTCTCTCCCTCTCAGGCGCGCGTGACCTGTCTAATACCAACTTCGGAAAGAGAAAATCTCTCAAACTCACCTTTTGAGAACTTAGTTCAAGGGCATCGATCTTCCCAACAGTCGATAAAAAATATAGTTTTCCTACCCAGCGACCTCTTGACAACACCTCAGACAAACAAGGCAACGCTGAGGCTGTTTCTCTCCCCGTCAGAACTCCTTCCAAACACTACACTTTTCGTCTGCACTTCGTCAGTTGGGGCTTCTGCTCCGTCCTTGGCAGAAGGAGCAGGATGGGCAGATGCAGCCTGCGGGGTATTGGGGCACTGGTGTTTGTGCTAGCGACGGCGGCGCTGCTGGTGGAGACGAGGCCTCCATACAGGAGTAGGAGGGGCATGAAGGTGTGCTCCCCCAGAGACGTCAAGTTCATGGCCACCTACATCTGCAACCTCCATCGCCGCTCCGTCCGCTCCGTCGATGACTTCGAAGACGACTTCGAGTCCCCAGGTAGGTGGAGAAGTTAGGGAGGGGAGGAGAAGAAGGAGGAGAAGGAGAAAGAAGAGAAGGAAAAGAAGGAGGAAGAGAGATGATGAAGCTGCGTTTATTCTGTTTAATTGTGTCAGAACTTGCGATTAATGATGATTCAAGGCATTTACGTCTGCGGAAACCGGGTTCTTTAATCGCTACTCGGACGTCGCTAATAAAGATGGAAGAAGCTTAGAGCACCAACGTCTTTTCTGACAATTGTCGTCTAACTTCTCCTCTTTGACGTTGAAGCCGTAGATATTAACAGTAAAAAAATATCTTTTCCGTGAAGATGGTGATGGAGTGGTTCTTGGTCAAAGGAACTGGATCAAGCCTCTCATTCCTTGGCTTGAACCTGAGTGCCTCTCATACCCCCATGAACGCAATAATAGTAGTAGTAGTTGTAGTAGTAGTAGTAGTAGTAATAGTAGTAGTAGTAGTAGCAGCAACAATAATAATAATAATAATAATAATAATAATAATAATATCGCAGATAAGTCATATGGAAGAACGTATGATTTTGTTGTTGCAGCGTCTCTCTGAATCAAGATCTTCACGTCAAACCTTGAGCGAAACGTTGTCCGTATCGTGCGTCTTCTGAACCACCTGTGGGCACGCTGCCTCGGAGTTGGCTCTGACAGCTTACCATTAAAACCATCGTTTGTACCATCCTGCCATCATTTGTACAATCGGTGTGGCACTATGTGTGGCAGTGCTTAGTTTCTACGCTAGTTCATTATTGTTGCAGCAGCAGTGAGACGCAGCTTGCATTTTCCTGCAACAAGACAAGGGCTTGGCTGTTGAGAGCACTGACAGCACTGACAGCACTGACAGCATCTCTCACATCCACAGAGTCAATATTTTTACACTTGCTCTCACTAGAGAATACTTAATACATTATCTGAAAGGGAAAAATACGGCGAATCTTCACGGTAAATTCACTGAAAAAAAATCGTGGAAATATCGCTAAAAACGAATTTTTTTTAGTACATAATTATCGCTATGGGACAATAATTTTTTAAAGAGATAATTTCCGATATGAAGTTTTTTTTGTACCAGTTATAGCGTTAAATTTAAAGAATACTTTTTTAAGCTCCGTTTTCAAATTCCTATCGTCTTTTTTGGTAGGAATGTGTCGTACGTGGCACAGAGGGAGCAGTGTGAGTGGGCCCAGTGTGTGCACATCCTGAGGTCACTGCACAGCTTCAAGAGTGGATACGACAAGGCTGAGAACGAGGAGTTAGAAATTATGGGATGACGACTATCGAGGTGGTCTAGAAAGCTGGTACATGGCCATTTGGGAGACGTGTCGGTCTAGGACGGTCCGAAACGTCGTCGGGACGGGGCGAAACGTCGTCGGGACGGAGCGAAACGTCGTCATGAGTTTCATCTCTGATGTGCGAGTTTTTTGCAGGACGAAAATACGCACTACGATAGCAACGATAAACATCTACCACAGATTAAATTGTAAACCACCGTGGTTTACCAGGACGCATTGACTACTCAGTAAACCTCCACACCGTGGTTTAATATGTGTTAACTACCCCCTAAGCTTCCATCATGATTTACCAAGGTGTATTGACGCCCCAGTAAGCCTGTACCGTGGTTTACCAAGGCGTGTTGACCAGTCGGTAAACTTTCACACCACTGCAATGACAGTCTTAACTTTCTCAGGCAGCGGACGAACACTTTCTGTCAACACCCAGTGAAGGCAGGCAAGCACCATACACATGTATGAACATACGTGAACTCACAGCCTCGACTCCAGAACATCTCCTCCCGTCCACCTGGAGGTTACCTGGAGGTTATTCCGGGGATCAACGCCCCCGCGGCCCGGTCCATGACCAGGCCTCCCGATGGATCAGGGCCTGATCAACTAGGCTGTTACTGCTGGCCGCACGCAGTCCAACGTACGAGCCACAGCCCGGCTGATCCGGCACTGACTTTAGGTGTCTGTCCAGCTCTCTCTTGAAGGCAGCCAGGGGTTTATTGGCAATTCCCCTAATGCTTGATGGGAGGCTGTTGAACAGTTTTGGGCCCCGGACACTTATGGTGTTTTCCCTTAGTGTACCAATGGCGCCCCTACTTTTTATTGGGGGCATTTTGCATCGCCTGCCCAGTCTTTTACTTTCGTAGGGACTGATTTCTGTGTGCAGATTTGGGACCATTCCTTCCAAGATTTTCCAAGTGTAGATTATGATATATCTCTCCCTCCTGCGTTCCAATGAATACAAGTCAAGTGCTTCCAAGCGTTCCCAGCAGTTAAGGTGCTTGACAGAACTTATACGTGCAGTAAAGGATCTCTGTACACTCTCTAGATCTGCAATTTCACCTGCTTTGAATGGAGATGTTAATGTACAGCAGTATTCCAGCCTAGAGAGAACAAGTGATTTGAAAAGGATCATCATTGGCTTGGCATCTCTCGTTTTGAAAGTTCTCATTATCCATCCTATCATTTTCTTTGCACGTGCGATCGTGGCACTGTTGTGATCCTTGAAAGTGAGATCCTCAGACATTACTACTCCCAGGTCCCTTACATTATTTTTCCGCTCTATTGTATGGCCGGAGTCAGTAGTATACTCTGTTCTAGTTATTATCTCCTCCAGATTTCCATAACGGAGTAGTTGGAATTTGTCCTCATTGAACATCATATTGTTTACCGTTGCCCACTGGAAAAAAGACGCAGAAATGTACTTATGCAGATTAATGCATTTTTAGCATAGGCTGCCATGTCGGTTCTAGTGGGAAATTAGAAAAAAGGTTATACGTATTTCAATTCTCTTTTCAAGTGATTGAAGCATTCTCACAAACGTAAGCTAAGAGCAACGAGTGTGTGGCACTCGGAGGATGAGTGCCAAGGCTATGTCTGATACACGTGTGTGTGTGACCAGCAAGAGAGAACTGATGTCTCTGTTTTTCTTCGCCGACGATCTAAAGCTAACGAGAAGACTACGAACGCTGAAGAGTAGAGATACACCACAGGAAGACTTGTACTGGTGGTAGCAGGCGTAGTCGACCATATAGGTGAAATTCAATAAGTGGAATGTCATGTAATTAGGGGAGAGGAAAAGATGACCATAGATTAGGTAAAGCCTGGAAGCAAAGAGATCTCCAAGCATTGATGAAGGAGGAGGACCCTAACATATCGCCGGAGGTTCACATCAATTCCGTATCATGGGTAACGTGCACATCGGTAGCATACACAAAACCTGCCTTCAGGGACCTAGGAAAATAATCATTTAGCACACTGTACACAGGCCTATCATCAGAATATGCGTGGAGGCCACACTTGATCAAGTATAACCCAGAAGGTAGATACAGTCTAGAGGTTCGTAATGAAGCGAACTGCAAGGAACAACATGCAGAAACCAAGGTAGCAACTCTGAAGGAGATGAAGACAAAGGAATACATGAACACGATGTACATTATGCAAAGAGGAATTGACAAACACAACTCAGTGAGTAGAAGACTAGAATAAACGCACATACACACACACACACACACACACATACACACACACCACACACACACACTACAGAAACACACACACTCACAAGAACATTCAAACACATTCACACACACAAACAAAATCAAATTCAAACGCATTTGAGCATCTCAAAAGCTGCTCTTAGTTTCCGAGTAACGTGGCAGCGACTCTAGCGATACACTTAGCACCGACATTTTGCAACCCGGTTATAAGAAGCCAGGTAAATTCATATCATGTAATAACAATAAGTAAATCAGTGAGGTATAAACTCCGGGTTGAGTAAGCAGACTCGCTCTGCGTGATGGGTTAATTTGCAGACGTTTGTACAGAACTAACTCGGGGCAAGACTCTCTCTCAGTTAACTCTCCTCATTACTTTTTCTTGTTAACTCGGGAAGACTTGGAGTCTTATCCTGAGATAAGATAAGATATATATATATATATATATATATATATATATATATATATATATATATATATATATATATATATATATATATATATATATATAATTTTCTGGATCTGGAAATAATAATTCGCATTATGTGTTGGTTACAGTAAGTGGAGAGGTTGCTGGTTAACCGTGTAGTCGATAAGGTTTAAACCCTATCGACTACACGGGAGTAAATAAGACTTCATGTAAAATACAAGAATGCTTCAATTCTTAAAGTAGTGATTAAACTTTTAGCATAAATACATTCTGAGGTATATACACCTCACGGAGTATATATCCTGGGAAGGCTGCTTCTCTTTCATGAGTGTGTAGTAATGTTGACGTCTGAGTGTTGCAGGTGAGGCACCCTCACCCTGAGTGTTGCAGGTGAGGCAGCCTCACCCTGAGTGTTGCAGGTGAGGCAGCCTCACCCTGAGTGTTGCAGGTGAGGCAACCTCACCCTGAGTGTTGCAGGTGAGGCAACCTCACCCTGAGTGTTGCAGGTGAGGCAATCTCACCCTGAGTGTTGCAGGTGAGGCAACCCTCACCCTGAGTGTTGCAGGTGAGGCAACCTCACCCTGAGTGTTGCAGGTGAGGCACCCTCACCCTGAGTGTTGCAGGTGAGGTAACCCTCACCCTGAGTGTTGCAGGTGAGGCAATCTCACCCTGAGTGTTGCAGGTGAGGCAACCTCACCCTGAGTGTTGCAGGTGAGGCAATCTCACCCTGAGTGTTGCAGGTGAGGCAACCCTCACCCTGAGTGTTGCAGGTGAGGCAACCTCACCCTGAGTGTTGCAGGTGAGGCACCCTCACCCTGAGTGTTGCAGGTGAGGCAACCTCACCCTGAGTGTTGCAGGTGAGGAAACCTCACCCTAAAGTGTTGCAGGTGGGGAAACCTCACCCTGAGTGTTGCAGGTGAGGTAACCCCTCACCCTGGGGTTTTGCAGGTGAGGCAATCTCCCCCTTTGTTGGTTGCAGGTGAGGCAGCCTCACCCTGAGTGTTGCAGGTGAGGGCACCCTCACCCTGAGTGTTGCGGTGGGGCCCAACCTCACCCTGAGTGTTGC